CTGGCAACCTGCTCATAAGTAGGTTCAGGCAGAGAGTTTCCGTAATTTGCCCCAAACCACACAATGGAGTTGGAGTTGCGATGGAGCTGAATTCAATTGTGCACTCTCCGATCTCAGATCCTGAGTTTTCATCAGAGTCAACCTAACCAACTTCATCTTGTTTAAAAAAAAAATTAAGCAAGTGGGGTCACTTTAGTTCCTCCTGAAGTGATTCTCTTCTCTGGAGAGAAAAGGGAGTGGAGCCCCATGTACACCTGTGGAACACAGCCTGCCCTGCACACACGGGAGTGCCTCCCTGCACCTGTGTCGGAGTAGACCGCATGGCAGTGATGGGCTTCTTGCTGTGGTTCTGAAGTTAAGGATTCAGAATCTGGATCCAGGAGAGGCAGTAACTGGATTAGTGGTTTCTTGGGGGGTATGGCAAGGGGAGGTTGGGGAGAAAAGGGAAACGAATAGCAATGAGCATAAAAAGAAAAAAATGTTCTAAAATGGATTGTGATGAGGACTGTACAACTCTTTTTCATATGACTGAATAACTGAATGCATGAGATGTGAATTATATGTTGATAGAACCGTTAAACAAAATAATAAAGAACTCAAGATCTGAGATCAGAGAGCCCAGAACCTGAATTCAGCTCCATCACTTATTGGTTGTGTGATTTGGGGCAAATTACATAAATTCTGCTTGAAGCTACTTATAAGTTAACTCACCGCTCGAAGAAGAGAGAGAAAGGTAAGGGAAACAGCACACCCATCTCTTAGGGTGAGCCCTGGTGGCGCAGCAGTTACGTACTGGGCTGCAATCCTCAGGGTCTGCAGTTCGAAACCAGAGAGAAAGGTAAGGGAAACAGCACACCCATCTCTTAGGGTGAGCCCTAGTGGCGTAGCAGTTACGTACTGGGCTGCAATCCTCAGGGTCCGCAGTTCGAAACCACCAAGCCCACTGGAGAGAGGTAGGATAAACACTGTAAAGATTTACAGTCTCAGAAACTCATAGGGGCAGTTCTACCCTGTCCTATAGAGTTGTCATGAATCAGAATTGACGCAATGGCAGTGACAGGGTAATTGCAGTGTCTAGGGCATATTAATATGCAGCAAATTCAAATATTAATTTCACGAATTTTATATAATTTAAATGTCTCAGTGGGCCAAACCCAGCCTGTTGCCTGTTTTTGTAAAGACCATGAGCAAGGAGTGGATTTTACACTTTGAAATGGTTGAAAACAGATTTTAATCTGAGCAAGTGATGCACTGTGACTTAAAAATAGCAACAAGTTTAAACTTTGGCCTTTATAAAAAGATTGTACGGGAACACAGCTACGCCCGTTTGTTTCACATGACAAAGACTGGCCCACCGGATACTTGACGATGTACAGAAAATACTCGTTGAGCTGATCTGCACCATGCCCATTCAACAGTTTGTCAGAAACTGTGAGTAATGACTCATGTCCAGAATCAAGAGCCAGGACTGGATCTTTTCTCCTTGATTCGACTCCTGCAGCTTCAAATCGGAGACGACTGCAGCTGTTTCATGTGCTTTTATTGGGTCAGTGTCATTATTCCCGCTGGAACGTGTGGATACGGTGCCACTATTCTAGGAGCAATACTCCAGTCACACCGTTGAGCCCTCATAATCCCCCCAAACGTTCCTGCCATGTCTAACGTCTGTGAAACCGAGGCACAGGGGGGGGTCAGTAGCTCATCACCACCACAGGTTCTCAGTGGTAAGAAACAGCACATCCATCCAGCCTCACCGCCCACACCACCAACCAAAAATTTCCACGACCTCTGCAGTACAATAATAGTTAAGTTTGGAAGCTGAAAACAAACAAGCCCTCTATCAGAAGACCAAACATGATGTAACATGATGATCAAAACACACTCTATGAATCCAGAATGCTCACAACTTAACAGAATCAAAGGATCCGCATCTGTGTATTTCAATGTGTGGCCCTAACTGCCATCAGTTCTGCTAGCAGAGTTACTATACCAACAAACACCCCCCCCCCCCAATACTCTTAGAGCAATTCACTTTTTGCTGAAATGCATGAGCGATTTAATGCAACGTATTAGCAAAACCCGGAGCCATGAACATGTTGACATTGATGTGTGGGGCCTTGGAGAAACTATGAGCTGAGTAAGCATTATGATTCGGCCCTGCTTTTCACTGCATCCCGTAAAGGAGACGTACACAACATTTTCAAACTCATGTGTCAAAACCCCTTTCAGTAGCTGTAAAACACCCAATTTACTATGTCAACCAAGCTTTTCTGCATGTTGGCAAAAAGCGTGAGCTCATCTGATGAGGAAAGAGCTGCATGGGGACAGGGACAAGATCTAATCTGTCCCCCTTTACCTCAGGAGAGTGAATCACTGCGGGGAAACAAAAATGACTGTATTCTTAATTTTAACTACACCAATTTTTTTAAAAAGGGAAAAATTGGTTGGGTAGAATATATTCTTTCGTCTATTTAAGATGCTTAATTAGTCATTTTTAATTAATGGTTGACATGCCATTTTAAGAAAGACTAGGTGTGCTTTATCAGGTTTCCTTCAGTGGGGACATCTGGTAAACCTACGGTAGAGTACCCCATGGACAGTCAAGGTGTAAGTGCTCTGGTAGCCCTGTTGATGGACTGCTAACCAAGGTCAACAGTTTGAACGCCCCCACCCCCACCCCCACTGCTTCGGGTCACTGAGTAGGATCTAAAAAAATAGATTTTAAGCCAAGCTATACAGAGTTCCTATCCCCACAGGGATCACGGATGTTGCCTGCCATAATCACAGCTGATATATCCTCCGGGGCTCCTAGCAACCACTGTGCACCTTCGTGCCCTTTCTCGTGTCGGGACTGCGACACAGATGGAACATACAGCCTGAGGCCTGTTCAGACCGGTTTTTCTCTCTCAGCATAGTTCTCTGGAGAATCACTGAGGTAACTGTAGCAATAATTCGTTTCTTTTTATTGCTAACTTGTTTTCCATGGATGTCCTGTGCTTTATAACCATTCACTAACTGCAGAACATCTAGGGCTGTTTTTAGTTTGGACTCCAAATTAAGGCTGCTCTTTAAAGACCGATGTATGGGATATTATGTGAACACAAGTGTTTTTTATTTCTTTAGGATTAATATCCAGGAATGCCACTGCTGGGGCATAAGGTAGTTGCATGTTTATTTAAAAACAGAAACAAAAACCACAAGCTGTTTTCAGAGCGGCTGTACCATTTTGTATCTCAGCAGCACAACTAGTATCTAAGCAGTCCAGGTTTTTGCATTCTTAACAGCATTTGGAATCATCATTATTTTTTTTATAATACCTCATTTGGTTTTAATTTGCATTTTCCTAAAGGCTAAGGATGTTGAATACATACTTATTTGATTATAACCTCCTTAGTGAAAGGTCTCTGTCTTTTAACCATTTTTGTAAATTTTTTTGACTGTTGGATTCTGAAAGTTCTTGGTATATTCTAGAACAGTCCTATTAACATTTTTTTCCATTCAGGTTGAGATTTTCCTGGTTCTTGGTCTGACAAGCTGGATTGACTGAAACCTGAGCGTTCTGAGTATTATGTCACAAGACTGGCTATTATTTCAAACTCCTGTTGCACTGACTTTTCTTGGCCCGCAGGGAAAAGAAGGGCACCGCCTCATTACTGCCAGGTGGTGCAGATGTGCAAGTCCCTCACCTACTGCTACCTGAGATTTGAGGGGTTCTGTATTCCTGCTGGTCAGGGCTGGTAGTTCTGACTCCCCACCAGGTCTCTACTGACACCTCCTGGTAGGTGGAATAGCAAATGTGCAAGTCACTCACCTACTGCTACCTGAGATTTGAGGGGTTCTGTATTCCTGCTGGTCAGGGCTGGTAGTTCCGACTCCCCACCAGGTCTCTACTGACACCTCCTGGTAGGTGGAATAGAGGGTTGTGTTCCTATTTCCTGTTTTCATTAGCACCGCAGGGAGCAGGGAGCCTGGTTATTACTGGGCAGGGGTGAAAGCTTTAACTCTTAACCAGGTCACTCCAGCAGGGAGTGGGAGAGGAAACAAAGGGACTGCCAAGTGAGAGTGCAAGTCCACGCTCCGCTCCCCACGTGGTCTCCACTGACACTGCCGAAAAGAGAAGCTCTTTCAGGCCAAGTCTGCCTGAGTCTCAGCACCTGACGCGGTTTCTCTGCTATCACCCCACCAGAGGATGGGGTGCCTTGGGCGAAGGTGAGAAGTCTAGGCTCCCCCACTGGCTTTTCAAAGTGTGTGTGTCGGGAGACACAGTATGTCCTTAGTATCGTTTCTCTCAGAGCCCGGTCTCTGTACCTGCTGTTCCCTTTGCCCGGAATGACTTGTGCTCTGCAGTCTACGCTTGTTTCGTCATCTTATCCTGACGAAGCGCAAAGAGTATCCTTCTCTGGGGAGTTCTCCCTTCGGCAGAAGTAGGGGCCACAACAAGTTCCCACAGCCCCCTGTGGGCACAATTCCGACGATCCTGCACCTGTATTATAATTCTACAATGTGAGTCATGAAGGCTACTTTTAATCCATGAAATCCTAGAACCTGTCATTGTATTTCACATGTAGTAAGGACTCAATCAACACTAGCTGAATGAAAAGATATTTTAATGCGACACTGTTTTATATATATATATAATATATATATATGTATATATATAATTAGTGTAGGTAGATCTTGCTTTAAGAACTTTCAGGTTTACATGAAAGGCAAGCTGGGGATAACTATTCACTTTCTGTAAGGGTTCACTATGGGTCTCTTTTAAACGGGAAGTTTGCTTGATTCTGTGTGCATGTATGTCATGATTTAAGATTGTCATGATTTAAGGTTGGTTCTGGCACCAACAAGATTGTTCTGTGCCCCTGAAAAATAACTGTCTATGAGGAACAAAGGAATAAGTATACATCCGTATGAGAAAATGCTCAGATAAGATTTCAGAGTATAATGCATCAAATTGTTCACTGGGTTTTTAAAAAATAAATCTGTGGAGGAAGGGATAAGAGGCACTCTCACATTCTATTTTTTTGCACTTCTGTTCTGCCTGAAAGTTTTTAGAACAAGCTTTGCTACTTTTCTAAGAAAAAAAAATCAGAATAAAACTTTCTTCTTCAAATCGACAACTATACTAAAAGCTAATTAGCCTATCTTGATTCCCTTAAATTAGGATTCGCTCTACTAAAGAACTATGGTGCCAAAATACATCTCAGAGGAAGGGGCAGCCAGAAGTTCTGTTGGACATTCAACAGCTCAGGATGGATTTTTCAGCTTCACTCCTCACATCCTTATCCCTGGCCCTCCAAATCCTTAATTCACTAAGGAATAATGAAGTATGCACATTGTGGCCCATGCCACTGACATTTCGTATGTTGGATTTCGGCGAGGACACGCAATAATCTTAGTGCTTTATCTGATATCTATAAGTGATGCCACCATGTCACTCAGCAGACCTGAGAGGAGCCCCCTCCTTTGCAAGAAGCAGTTACCTTTTTATCGTACTTCTGGTCCCACATGTCATTGACAGTACAGCCTGCTCCACGCATCAGAACGGCTCCGGTGCCAAAGAGGGCTAGCATAGACCAGTCTGGAAAACAGCCCGGTTCCGCGGCCAAGCTGATGCTCCAGGTGCATGGCAGATACAGCAGCCAGGTCCCTAGGCAAAAACAAGAGGATACACATTCAGATTACTGTCTCCATTGGTTTAGATACCACATCCAGAAAAAGCCTAAAGCAAAGCCAAAAGAGACGTGACAACTGAAGAATCTACGTCCACAACTCGTGACAGAAAGGGCTGTTTTTCCTAATTATGTAAAGAACTCATAGAACGTGCGAATGATGAAAATGATAGTCCCACTTTAAAAATGGACAAAAAGCATACACAGAAAGTTCTCAGAAATCAAAATAGAAGTCTCTCTCATGCACATGAGAAAGTATGGAACGGAGAAACAGACATTCAAAACTACACGGAGATAATGTTTCTCACCTATCAGGGCGGGCAAAATCTGAAGGTCTGCAGACAAAGCCCCGAGTTGAGCACCAGCAGGTATTTCTGGTGGGGTTGGGCAATGGTCTAATGTTTATGGAGGGCTATTTGAAATTTTTTACTCAAATGACACATGCGCACACTAGTGGCCTCACTTACTACTAACACACACATGGAACCCCGGTGGTGTGGCACAGTGCTTATGCGATGGTCGGCGAACCACAAGGTGGGCAGTTGGCATAAAAGAATACCTTATGCATATGTAAGGTGATAATGAGATACAAATGCCTTATAAAAAGATTCCTTTGCAATGTAATGATATACAGGGATCCTCAAGGTACATCCTTAAATGAAAAACACAAATTATAAAGTAGTTACCATTCGTGTTGAGAATTTATACATATGTGCTACAAATAAACATAATCAAATGTTAACAGTCTCTGTCAGAAACGACAAAGCAATCAACCATAAATGCAGTAGAAAATTAGTCATTTTAGTAGAAACAGTGCCACCTGCTGAAACTTCATGATAATACAGATCAGCTGCTCCACCTTCCTCCACAATGAACCTTACTTTGATTTACCAAGTACTAAGGAGAGGCCAACGTTAATGAACTTGAAGCAATGAATAGAAAACTACACCACAAAAGAAACTCAATAAAGAAATACCAAACCTCCAATTCTATTATGGCTGAAGTTTTGTTCCTAGACTATGGTAGGGGCTTAAAAAAACATGCTTGCTGAATGAATTGTAACTAGTACAATTAGTAACTTGTTTGAAACATCCTGAAATTGTCATCTTATTTATTTAATATCGAATAAGGCAGGCTGGTATCTTCTTAATATATACAACTATGAACACAATCGTCTTTATTCCCTACTTTTAAAGTACATTAACTTACAAAAATTTATTACATGCCAAGTACTGTCCTAAGCACTTAAACATATATTGATGAATTTTTATGACAATCCTAAGAAATCAGTATTATTTGTATCTTTACTTTATGGGTGAGAAATGAAGGCCCTGAGGGCTGGAGTAAGTTAACCAAGGTCCCTCAGATAGGCAGTGAAGATCCCTGCCCGGCTGGCTCCAGCTTTATTCCTAACTCCTTTGTAACTCGCCTCTTGCTAGGCGGTGAGGTCCCTGCGCGGTACAACCGGTCTGCACTCGTCTACAACTTAGAGGTTGGTAGTGAAAACCCACTGTGGAAGAAAGGCCAGGCCTCTGTAAAAGTTATAAGCAAGAAAGCTGTATGAAGCCGTTCTGCTCTTCACACATCGGGTGACAATGGATTTATGGGTTATATGTTGAGGGGGCCCAGCCCTCCAGCAGAAAGCAGGTTAACTGGAATAGGGAATCATGGCAGCTGTTGGTCCATTTGGAATTCCTGGAATAAGCCTACACTGCAGTTTTTTGATGGAGACGCCAAGCACAGTATTCCAGCTGGGTTTCAAGGAAGAACGGGGCCCGGAAGTTATGCCCACCAGCCTGGATCGGGCAGAATGAAGGAAGGGTCCGGAGCCATACCAGTGATGGAAGTGTGGGCCTATCAATCAGTTTGCTTTCACACTTAAATGGAGAGTTTTGGAACTCCTAGTGTTACACTTCAAAATAGTGTATGAACCTTAAAAGTGAAAGATCAGGTTTAATTTGGGGTCTTGGTTGGGCAAAAGTGGATGTATTTAAGCTTTTTAAAATTTAATCATTTTATTGGGGGCTCATACAACTCTTACCACAATCCATACATACATCCACTGTGTCAAGAGCATTTGTTGCCCTCATCATTCTCAAAATATTTGCTTTCTGCTTGAGTCCTTGGTATCAACTCATTTTTCCCCTCCCTCCCTGCTCCCCCCGTATTTAAGCTTTTTAATGTATTCCGTGAACAGCAACGCAAACATAATCTAGGTGAGCTGGTTCAGATTCAACATCTTCCACCGCACTGCCCATTCTTCTCAGCTTCAGCTTTTCTCTAGCTGCCCCCAAACTTACTGCCATCGAGTTGGTTCTGAGTCATGTTGTTGTTGCTGTTAGGTGCCGTGAGTTCTGACTCATGGTGACTGTGTTGGTCTGGGTACATTAGAGAAACAAATCCACAGAAACTCATGTATAAGAGAGTTTTATATAAAGGGTAAGTGCACATTAAGAAAACATCCCAACCTGTGGGATACAAAAAGATGACTCCCCAGCTCATCTCCCCCAAATACATATGGTAGACTTAGGACATTGCTTGCAGCTAATGGTAAATGATTGTTATCTCCCAATTGTAAATTGTTCACTTGCACGAATCATGCTCTGCTTTTAAACGTTTCAAAAGACAGCATCCTCATCCTAAAGAGCTGGGGGTGTGGATCCCGATGGAGATGAAGCGCAGATGGGAGAGCAGTCCAGAATCATGCTTCATGATGCAAGTGGAGTCGGAGGTGCTGAAAAGACCTCGCCGATTCGTGGGAATGTTAATCGCAGCTATAATCGGACTTATAGCCATTGCCACCACTGCTGCTGTCGCGGGGGAGCTCTACAAGAGTCCATCAAAACTGAACATTTTGTGCAAAAGTGGCAAGTGAACGCACATGAGCTCTGGGCCACTCAGGCAAAGGTGGATGGTGAACTGGGGGGGAAGTGGCAGAGCTGCAGCACACTGTCCAGTGGTTGGGAGATCAAATCATAGACTTGCAACATCATTTAATGCTAAAATGTGATTGGAATATAACTGGTTTTTGTATAACCCCGTACCCATGTAATATGACATTGCATGATTGGGATTTGATTAGAAAACATTTGCAAGGGTTTAAGGGAAACATTTCATTAGATTTTGATCAGCTTAAAAAGGATATTTTCTAAACATTCAAAGACAGACTCGAGGCATCTCCTGGCTCTGATATGACTAAGCAATTGATGAATGGCATGGAAGGGTTGGATCCTCGAGCTTGGGTTTAAAGTATTTCATACAGCTTAAGTTCCAGTCTGGCTGTGTTGTTTATCATCATAATTTTGATGCCTGCAGTCTTGTGTCACTTCTATAGAGATATATAGCTAAGAGATATGAAGAGAGACCATGTTGCCTCTGTGACACTATTAAATCTTAAATGTAATACAGAAGGGGGAAATGTGGGAAACTAGCACTGAGGGAAATAAGACTGGGACTTATTCCCTGACTGGTACAGAGGGATTCTGGAAGATTAGTAGTATTCCACGGCAGGAAGACTGCCACTCTGGTAGTTGGAGATATCGTCAAGGACATTTCCCTGCAGTAGTCTATCATCTTCCACAGTTTCTCCCCTTAAAGCTGTGCTGCCTTAAAGTGAGCACATGGTTGATTCTATCTCCCTACAGAAGCAGACATTCCTATTTGCTCTATTTCTTTCCGCCGCACATCCAGCCTGTTTCATACCTTTCTCCAACAGCGGATGAGCTTAGGGGGACTTTACCCTCCATGCCTGGATTCAAGATGTTTGCTATAAGCCTGACTTTTTGGCTATATTAATTCGGTCATTAAATTTGCCTGACAGCTTTCAACATATAGAAATAACCACTTGGCTCCCATGGCTCTTTTGAATTTTATATATAAAGCAAAACAGGGAATTGTGGGATATAAAGACTGTTCTCCAGCTCATCTGGACATTGCTTGCAACTAATGGTAAATAATTGTCAAGTTATCTCCCTGAAGATTCCAGCCTTCCAGAGCAAGGGGACACCATTGCTTCTCCCACAATGGGTAGGGCTCACTCCTGCTGTGAGGTTCAGTGGATGGCTTCCCCTGAAAGCTTAGGCCAGGGGTCCTCACACTGCGGCCCGCCCGAGGACATTTATCTGGCCCGCTGGGTGTTTTTGCCCCATTTGTTTTTTTTTTACTTCAAAATAAGATATGTGCAGTGTGCATAGGAATTTGTTCATAGTTTTTTTTTTTTAAACTATAGTCCGGCCCTCCAATGGGTCTGAGGGCCCGTGAACTGACCCCCTGTTTAAAAAGTTTGAGGACCCCTGGCTTAGGCTAAAGTCTCCAGCTCTATGGCAATCAAGGTTAGGCTGCCATCATGAATTTAGGACCCTCCCATCTTGTCACATGTATACCCTTAATCCCTCCTTGTCCTATTGCACGTATACCCCTAGATTTTTCCCCTCCCATTACTGTATTACCTATAGTACAACCCTTTCCTAGGACATATGCCTTTACCTGTAATTAGGGGGCTTGCACGTCCCCAAAAGATATATAAGCCTTGATTAGTAATAAACTCTCTCTCTCTCCTGCCCTGTACCACCAAGAGGAGCTGAGGTGAGCGTGCTACCATGAAATGTGTCTGACACCATTATTTCAATCTCTATCACTTATTTTCTATGACTTTACTATAAACTTTACTTATTATCGCTGTACAATTGTGCCTATTGGACCTGTGATGATTTGTTAGGGGCTGGCTACCCTGACACCAACCCAGTACTGCCCAAGCCCACAAGTCCAACATTAGCCCTATGTCCGACACCAATCCACAAAGTCCTCCTCCATCTCACAAAACACATGCAACGATGCCGACTGCAGGAGGAAAGCTGAATCAGTGAATGTGTAAGCATCTCAGTGCTGGCAAGGGTCTCCACACGGCTGCTCCAGCACCCAGGGCTGCATCAAGGTAGGTCCATGTGGCTTCTCCTCAGGGATGTCTTGCAGGAAGTGAGCCTTGCCAGCAGGGAACTGGCTAAAGCAGCTGCACCCTGGTCCAACCATCAGAGAACAAGAGACCAAAGAACCAGAAAGACAAGGCTCACCAAGCCATTTATCCCTCTGTCCTTCAATTAATCCCACATGTGTTCATCAGCCAGGTTAGCACAATAAACTTTATCTCAGTGACCCATCCATGTACAACAAAATGAAACACTGCCTAGTCCTCACAATTGTTCTTCTGTTCGAGCCAATTGTTGCAGCTACTGCTTCAATCTGACTCATAGTGACCCTATAAGACAGAATAGTACTGCCCCTAGGGGTTTCCAATACTGGGCGTACAAAGCCTCATCTTTCTCCTGTGGAGTCGCTGGTGGTTTTGAACTGCTGACCACGTGGTGAGCAGCCCAATGCATAACCACACCACCAAGGCTCCTTCATCCAGCCTGCTCTCACGCTATTTTCTATATGGACTTGGTGTTCCAGATCAGGATCATAGCATAAGCGTCCTAACACTCAACAAAGATAATCCCCTGACCGCAAAGATTGTGTTCTTTCTGCAGGTGGCCTTGGGAGTACATTTTGTTTTTCTTGATACTTTTCCCCACAGTAATTTCTTTTTCCTGCAGTGCAGAGTCTGTACCTAATGTTTGATTCCATACTTCCCGAGTTCAACAAATATTGTGTCTTTTTCCAACTTGATGGGGGAAGGCATTGAAAGCAAGACATGTCCCTAGCTCCCACACCAAGGCTAAGCAACGTAACAGGCATTTGTTGGAATCCCTGGGCAGCACAGAGGCGAAGGGCTTGGCTACTAACTGAAAGGACAGCAGACAGGGCCTTGGAAGGCAACCCTGGCCACCTGCTTCCAAAAGGCCAGGGCCTGTAAAACGGTAGGCAGCTGTTCTACTCAGCACACGTGCACCTTAGGTCCTAACAGCAACGGGAATCCATGGATACGTTTAGTGTTGATTTTTAAAAAGAGAAAGGGTTAACGTCCCATTCGCGAAGAGCTTCCATTGTAGGGATGAGTCCATCAACTAAGAATGCCTAAGGTTAGTACAGTAAGTGCCCTGAAGAGAAACCAGAAAGTACAGGGAGCGTGTTAATTTAGAAGTCCGCCCGTAGGAGGCGACAGGGAAGTGATGCGCAGCCCGTAAGCACTGTACCTGATGACATCTCTGTTGGGACCTGATGCCTCCAAACCCTGGGTTTATGCGCCTGGCACTGCCAGGGCGCCCTAAGTTTCCACGCGATCTTAATGGTTTGCCTCGGGGTCTTGGCAAGATGGCAGGGAGCATCGAGCATCTTCGTAAACGGGGAGGTGCTGACCCCAGGAATCTTGGCAAGGAAAGAACGCGATTGCCGCGGGGTCCACCCGCTCAACAAGTACTGGTGCGGGGAGCGAACTGACTCCCTGCTTTGAGATGTCACCCATCGGAGAGGCGTGGCAGGTCCCCGGGGTCCCCAAGGTACCTAGATGCAGACAGTCAGGCTCCCTGCTTTCCGTCGCGTCGGGCATCGGACTTACCGATGGGCTTGTCCAGCCGCATGAGGCGCAGGTAGGGCTGGAGCGCGCCGGGCGCCGAG